CGCACCCGCGACCCGCCCGCAACCCACCCCGCTACCCACCCGCGACCCACCCTCGACCCACGCCGCGACCCACCCGCGATCCACCCGCCCCACCCCGCGACCCACCCGGCGACCTGCCCCGCGATCCATCCGCGACCCACCTTGCGACCCACCCCGTGACCCACCCCGCGACCCACCCCGCGACCCATCAACGAACCGCCCTGCGACCCGCCTGCAATTCACCCGCAACACAACTTGCCCTGTGGCCCACCCGCGACCCGTCGCGCGCGTCTGATCGGAGGGCTTTTCACTCATCGTAAAAGATGGCCACAGGTCCATCTTTTGTGATGGCGATTCCGATGATGTGCATGAGGATGAGAAAAAAAGGATATGTTAGATTAGGAATGATATAAAGTCAAGGCCGAAACGTGCTGTTTTGCCCGTCGTATAGTAGGGGGTGCCTCGTCGTTTTCTCGGTCACAATGTAAAGGGCGTGTCGATAGAGACGCCTCATCTCGTTACGGGCGTTTCGAAGCTTTTCGAAACGCAGAAGATCTCGAGACCAAGTCGCCCGCCCCTCACTCTTATCCGCAACTGCGGGCGCATACGTAAGGTACATGGCGACGACGAGGGCGTTCCCCCGCTTCCTCCTCCTCCTCCTCCTTCGTCTCCCTTTCGAAATCCTCGCCCTCCTAGTGGTCTGGTTTTTGTCATTACGTTTCCTTCTCCTCGTCCGTCTTCTCCCATCCATTTTGTCTTTTATTATTATTGTTTGTCTTCGTAATGGTTGCATCGCTTCAATGTCTCGCAAAGTACATCCGACCTGTGGATTCTTAACGCTCGTTGCCCGGGCACTGCTCGTAGCGCAAAGTTTTCCCAGATGATCGGCGTCGGCATTGGCGAGTTTTCAGTCGGAGTTAAGGGTTGCAGCCTCCTTCGCCCAGGGCACCAGGGCTCTAGCTAAAGTCTGGCAAGTTGCGACGAGGGCCTCCCCAAGGCCCCCCTAAATAATATCCGCCGGCCCCCTTGTGGGGCCACCAGGCTGTAGGCCCGTGATTCGCAGTTTCCTGTACCAGTTGTAGTTTCTAGTTTCCAGTGTTACAGTTCTGCTTCTTGCTGGTTACTGTAACTAGTTGATTGACCGCGCGAGGGGGGGGAGGCCCAAACAGGATTTTCCAGCGTCCCCTGGGCGCGTTGTCTGAATTGCTGGGGGGGCTCGAAATCGACACCCCTCACGCAGATCCGCGGGGTCAGGGTCCAAAAACACATGGGATTTGCCACATTTCTGAAATTCGGTGCCACCCCTCACGCAGATCCGCGGGGTCAGGGTCCAAAAACACAGGGGATTTGCCACATTTCTGAAATTCGGTGCCACCCCTCACGCAGATCCGCGGGGTCAGGGTCCAAAAACACATGAGGATTTGCCACATTTCTGAAATTCGGTGCCACCCCTCACGCAGATCCGCGGGGTCAGGGTCCAAAAACACAGGGGATTTGCCACATTTCTGAAATTCGGTGCCACCCCTCACGCAGATCCGCGGGGTCAGGGTCCAAAAACATAGGGGATTTGTCACATTTCTGAAATTCGGTGCCACCCCTCAGGCAGATCCGCGGGGTCAGGGTCCAAAAACACATGGGATTTGCCACATTTCTGAAATTCGATGCCACCCCTCACGCAGATCCGCGGGGTCAGGGTCCAAAAACACATGGGATTTGCCACATTTCTGAAATTCGGTGCCACCCCTCACGCAGATCCGCGGGGTCAGGGTCCAAAAACACATGGGATTTGCACATTTCTGAAATTCGGTGCCACCCCTTACGCAGATCCGCGGGGTCAGGGTCCAAAAACACAGGGGATTTGCCACATTTCTGAATTTCGAACCCATCACGCACATCCATCGCAAGGCGTGGTAACCCAAACTGCGAGAACTCCCTCGGCCCTTTAATCGCAAGGTGTGGTAACCAAGCCCTTAAACCATACACGTCTTACCAATCGCCAGGTGTGGTAACCCCTCTTGTGATCAGTTGGTTTTGCTGATTGCGACTCGGCTTCGCATGAAGTTTCGATACTGCTTCACGACAGCGCCAAGGCCTCATGACTTAGCTCTTCCATGGCCCATTCTCCGAGAGAGGGGGCCGGCGGCAGGGGGCGAAGCCCTTACGGATAAAAAGCGAGGCAAGTGTAGCGGTAGCGGTCCTTGTCCTCCTCTGATACCGCCACTCCCTCGACCTCTCCTAAGGTGCCTTCTGACCAGCATTCCGAGGCGTATCCAGCCCATTGCGACGAGGGCCTCCCAAAGGCCCCCCAAAAATATAATTAGCCTGGCGAAGGACCCAACCATATGCAGTTGTGAGTAATGCTGGTGTGAGTACCGTCTTCGGTGGATCTCCCTATGGGGCCACGAACCGTTTGAGGGGTGTGCCGAAATGGGTAGCGGGGGCGGCATGCGGGCCCTGCCACTGGGGCCTTCGGTGGAGCTCCTTATGGGGCCACGAAACGTGTGAGGGGTGCACCGAAGTTGGTGTAGGGGCGGCATGCGAACGCAGACACTGGGGCCTTCGGTGGAGCTCCCTGTGGGGCCACGAAACGTGTGAGGGGTGTGCCGAAATTGGTGTGGGGGCGGCATGCGAACGCAGCCACTGGGGCCTTCGGTGGAGCTCCCTATGGTGCCACGAAACGTGTGAGGGGTGTGCCGAAATGGGTGTGGGGGCGCATGCGAACCCAGTCACTGGGGCCTTCAATGGAAATCCCCATGGGGCCACGAAACGTGTGAGGGATGTGCCGAAATGGGTGTTGGGGAGGCATACGGACCAGGCCACTGGGGCCTTCGGTGGAGCTCCCTATGGGGCCACGAAACGTGTGAGGGGTGTGCCGAAATGGGTGGTGGGGAGGCATGCGGACCCTGCCACTGGGGCCTTCGGTGGAGCTCCCTATGGGGCCACACGAAACGTGTGAGGGGTGTCCTTGCTTGTCTTTTCTACTCTCCTTCCTTTTTTGTGCCGCGAACTGGATGGGTGGGGAGGCATGCGAAACTGCCCTGGGGCATTCGGTGGAGCTCCCTATGGGGCCACGAAAAACGTGTGAGGAGGGTGTTGCCGAACAGAGGTTGGTGGGGGAGGCATGGGCGCAGCCACTGGGGCCTTTCGGTGGTGGAGTTCCCTAGGGGCCACGGAAAACGTTTGTGAGGGTGCACCTGTGCCGAATCATGGGCGTGGTGGGGAAGGCATGGGACCCTGCCACTGGGGCCTTCGGTGGAGCTCCCTATGGGGCCACGAAGCGTGTGAAGGGTGTGCCGAAATGGGTGCGGCGCCGCCATGCGGACGCAGCCACTGGGCCTTCGGTGGAGCTCCCTATGGGGCCACGAAACGTGTGAGGGGTGTGCCGAAATGGGTGTGCGGGACGCATGCGGACGGCAGCCATGGGGCCTTCGGTGGAGCTCCCTATGGGGCCACGAAACGTGTGAGGGGTGTGCCGAAATGGGTGGTGGGGAGGCATGCGAACCCTGCCACTGGGGCCTTCGGTGGAGCTCCCTATGGGGCCACGAAACGTGTGAGGGGTGTGCCGAAATGGGTGGTGGGGGGGCATGCGGACCCTGCCACTGGGGCCTTCGGTGGAGCTCCCTATGGGGCCACGAAACGTGTGAGGGGTGTGCCGAAATGGGTGTGCGGGACGCATGCGGACGGCAGCACTGGGGCCTTTCGGTGGAGCTCCCTGTGGGGCCACGAAACGTGTGAGGGGTGTGCCGAAATGGGTGTGCGGGACGCATGCGGACGGCAGCACTGGGGCCTTCGGTGGAGCTCCCCTATGGGGCCACGAAACGTGTGAGGGGTGTGCCGAAATGGGTGTGCGGGACGCATGCGGACGGCAGCCATGGGGCCTTCGGTGGAGCTCCCTATGGGGCCACGAAACGTGTGAGGGGTGTGCCGAAATCGGTGGTGATGATGATGATGATGATGATGATGATGATGATGATGATGATGATGATGATGATGATGATGATGATGATGATTCATGATGATGATGATGATGATGATGATGATGATGATGATGATGATGATGATGATGATGATGATGATGATGATGATGATGATGATGATGATGATGATGGGAGGAGGGAGGGGGGGGGAGGAGGAGGAGGTGAGGAACGCGGGGCGCCGTCTCTTCAAAACGAGGACCCAACACCACAGGATGGTTGGGAAAAAGCAAAGCAAGTGTAGCGGTAGCGGTCCTTGTCCTCCTCTGATACCGCCACTCTCTCGACCTCTCCCAAGGTGCCTTCTGACCAGCATTCCGAGGCGTACACAGCCTATTGCGACGAGGGCCTTCCCAAGGGCCCTCAAAAAAGGAAAAGCGAGGCAAGTGTGGCGGTATCGGCCCTTGTCCTCCCCTGAGGGCCTCCATGTCGAAGACCTCGACGTCGCCGCCGCGGTAGTTTGCCAGCAGCAGCCGCCCGTCGGGGCTCCACGACGCGCCGCTGACGCCCACGTCCGCCGCCTCGTCCAGCGGCCCCCGCGCCGAGTGCAGCGAGACCACTGGCGTGGGCATGGCGCAGAGGAACCAAACGACGTCATACGCATAGACTCCTGGAGCTCCGCTGGCCCCCCCCCCCCTGGCGCGCGGAGGCGCCACCAGGGGGGGCACACAGCGCCGATCCAAAAATTCCACGCGGAGCTCCGAAAATTTCTGCGTATGCCTTCGAAGGAGGCAGCTACTGGGAGGTCTTCGTCGGAAGGACTCAGGAGGAGTCAGCCCCCTCGGGGGGCCGCCACGCTGGATTCGGCCGCGGATCGAGCGGGAATCGGATTGTGCCAGATCCAGCGGGAGGAGGAGAAGGATGAGGAGGAGGAGGAGGAGGAGGAGGAGGAGGAGGAGGAGGGATGAGGAGGGAGAGGGGAGAGGAGGAGGGAGGAGGAGGGAGGAGGAGGAGGAGGAGGAGGAGGAGGAGGAGGAGGAGGAGGAGGAGGAGGAGGAGGAGGGAGTGCCTCCCAGGAGGTGCACCCGAGCATGCCGTTGCCCGTTCCTCGCATGGGCGGGGGCGCGGCCTCGCGCCCGCTCGGCAGGGCCCGGAGGTCGTAGAGCCTCAGGAACGGGTCGTTCCCGCCGACGGCCAGCAGCCAGTCGCTCCTTACCAGCCTCGAACGCATCCCTATCCCAAAGATTGACACGCCAGAAGGCGATGACAATCTTAGGGATCCGCCCTCAAAAAATAAGGGAACCCCTGAGACTGGCATCGTGATGAGAAGGTGCCCAGTATAGGGATACGGATATGTTCCAGGCTGGTGAGCTCCTCGGCGACACCTCGAGGCAGGTCAGCCCCACGCCGCGCGCGTCGATGGCGACGCGGTGGCCGGGCTCCCGGAGGTCGAACCTCGGCGGCGAGCGAGGGGGGGAGTGCGCAGGCGAGGGCCCTCTCGGAAGGCGGCGGGACTCCTCAGAAGCCCTCGCCGGGCCCTCGCGCCTCCTCCTCCACCCCTCCCTCCCCCTCCCTCCCTGCCTCCTCCCTCCTCCCTGCCTCCTCCTCCACACCCTCTTCCTTCCACATGCCTCCACCCCGTCGCAGCGAGGCAGGTCGGCAGGGGGGGGGCCAGGCGCTTCGCCCGGGAGATCCATGAAAGCATTGCGGTTTCTTTTCTCGGGAGCGGCCAAGAGGGGGGTGTCCAAGAGGGGGGGGTGCAAATCATGACCGGCGGCATGTGCGCGGCCCAGCGGGGGGGCCAGGGACGTAATGAAATCAGAAGAGGCGCCATGAAATCTGGGGAAATATCATGGCCCCCGCCATGATATCCACCCCCCCCTAGTCATCACCCCCCTCTTTTCCGCCCCCGATCTTTTCGGGGAAGGCTCGGACAGCGTATCAGAGGGCCGGGGCACTTCCGAGCCCTCCGGGGCGGCGTTCTCCTTCTCACTTCCCCCCCTCGCTCGCCGCCAAAGAACCGCCGGGCTCGGCCGTCGCCAAAGGCGGTGAAGAAGACGTCTGGTCCGTCGCGGCTCGCAAACCCCACCTTTCAAGGGGCCCCAGAACACACAAATAAATACACACAAATAAAAATATCCCCTATATTTTTCCATAGTTTCTGGGTTTTTGTCTCCCCCACCACTTCCCATATTTTCCCATATTTTCCTAGGGATAGACGATTAATTGTGTCTGTGTGTTTCTTCCCCTCCTGAACCTTGAACGCCTGGTAGCAGCCCATGAAGGGTTCGGGCTGGAACAGCAGTTGGCTGGACTGCGAGGTCGACTCCACCTCGGTGAGGCAGACGAAGCCGTCAGCCCCACACGATATCACCTGGGGCCAGGCAGAACCGCCTCGTGCGCCCTTGGCTATCCCTGGAAACCCGCCGGCCCCCTTGTGGGGCCACCAGGCTGTAGGGCGAAGGTTTGCTGCTCCCTATAGGCCAGTTGCAGCCTCCAGTTTCCAATGCGATCGCTCTACTTTCTGCTTCCTACTGTTAGTTGTTACTGTACGCGCAAGGCGAGGGGGGGGGGGGAGTGTGGGGAAGAGAGAGGCACGGGGGGTGGGGGGGGGGGGGGGGGGGGGCGAAAAGCGCGGGTTTAGCAAGCCCCTTCGGAGATTCGCAGACTTCCCGGAGGGCCGTGGGACAAGTAAAAATACATGAGGCCATAAACTCATTTAAATTATACATGTGTCGCGTCCCCGAGGCCAGAACCCCTTGTAAATCACACAATCTTCGCGTCCTCGAGGCCATACATCCTCGCAAATTACACGAAGATTCGAGTCCCCGAAACCATAAACCCTTTTCAATCATATAATACTCGCGCCCCAAAGACCATAAACCCATGTAAATTACATAGGAGAGAAAGTGATCCACCGCCGCTCTACCGTGGAAAATTCCCCCCCCCTTCTTCCTCCGGAACCCGCGGGTTCCCCCCCCCCCAACCCCCTCGAAAATCCCCCCTTCCCTGCTGGAACCCCCCCTCCACCCTTCCCCGCGGCAAAAGCCCCCCCTTCACCTTACACCCCCCCTCCGGAAAGCCGGGGATGGTCAACTACCGGTTCGATAACCTCCCCCCCTCGGGGTGTAAAAACCGGGGCGGGTCACTACCGGTTCGAACCCCTCCACCCCCAATCCCCCCCTCCCCCCCAGAAAACCAGACGGGGGTCACTATGCCGGTTCGAACCCTTCCCCCCCCCTTCCAGAAAACCGGGTGAGGTCACTACCGGTTCGAACTCCCCTCCAGAAAACCAAAGTGGGGTCACTACCGGTTCGACCCCCCCCAGAAAACTGGGGGGGGGTGTCACTACCGGTTCGAGTCCCCCCCCCCCCGTCTGGGAAGGAAACGAGGGGGTCACTAATGAGGGGGGGTCACTACCAGTTCGAACCCCTCCCCCCCCCCCCCTCGCTCACCGCCAGCAAACGACTCCCGGGTCCCTACCACTGTCCGCACCACATCCCCCACTGCTGTCCCCAGCACCACTGTCCTCACCACCACTGCCCCCACTGTTCCCACCACCATCCCCACTGTCCCCACCAGTGCCCCCACCACAGTCGCACTGTCCCCACTGTCCCCACCACTGTTCCCACCACGGTTCCACTCTCCCCACTTTCTCCACGGCCCCCACCACTGTCCCACTGCGCCCACTTATCCACGCCCCAATGTCCCGCCGCCATGTCCCAATGAGCTGTCCCCACTGTTCCCACCACTGCCCAACACTGTCCCCACCACTGCCCCACTGTACCCTCTGTCCCATTATCCCACCGCCGTCCTCGCCACCGCCCTCACCACTGTCGCCACCACCACTGTACCCTCCACTGTCCCACTGTTTCCACCACATTCCCACTGTCCCCACAGTACTGTCCCCACCACCACTGTCCCCACCACTGTCCCACTATCCCCACTGTTCCCACCATTGTCCCCGCTGTCCCCACCAGTGCCCCCCACCAGTGTCTCACTGTCCCCACTCCCCCCACCATTGTCCCACCACGGTCCCACTGTCCCCACTTTCCCCACGGTCCCCACCACTGTCCCACTGTCTCCACTGTACCCACCACTGTCCCAGTGTCCCCGCCGCTGTCCCACTGTGCTGTCCCACCGTCCCCAGTGTCCCCATCACTGTCCCACTGTCCCCACTGTCCCCACCACTTTCCCCACTGTACTACTATACTATCCCACCACTGCCCTCACCACTGCCTTCACCACTGCCCCCACCACTACCGTCCCCACCACTGTCCCACTGTCCCCACCACTGTCCCGCTGTCCCCTCACCACTGTCCCCACCACCACCGTCCCCATCACTGTCCGCACCACTGTCCCACTGTCCCCGCACCACTGTCCCCACCACCACCGTCCTCACCACTGTCCCAGCATCCCCACCATTGTCCAACTATCCCGAGGAGCGGGAATCGTTTGCCAGCGGCGAAGGGGGGGGGGTCGAAACGGTAGTGACCCCCCCCGGTTTTCGAGGGGAGGGGGGGGGGGAAGGGTTCGAACTGATAGTGACCCTCCCCCCTTTTCATGATGGACTGGGGGGGGATTCGAAGCGGTAATGACCCCCTTCCGGGTTTTCGAGAGGGGGGGGAGGGGGGAAGGTTGGGAAACTAGAACATTGTAAATTGCAATAGAGGCCACAAACCTGTGTAAATGATTCAATATTCGCGTCCCCGAAACGATATAATCTCGTAAGATACGCAATAGTTGCGTCCCCGAGGCCATACACTCTAGTAAGTTGCACCTTTCTTGCCTCCCCGAGGCCACAAACCCTGGGAATCACACCATGTTCACGTCCCTGGGGCCATAAACCTGTATAAGGTCATGAACCCGCGTAAAATCACGCCATCATTGCGTCCCCGAGGCCACGAATCCTCGCCATATTCGCGTCCCCGGGGCCATAAACCTTCACACGTTACTCCGTAGTTGCGCCCCGAGGCCATCAGCCCTCGTGAACTACGCAATGTTGGTGTCACCGAGGCAGCACAAAAAACATGAGTTACACAAGATTCGCGTCCCCGAAGCCATGAACCTTTGTAAATTACTTGGTATCTGCGCCACCAAGGCCATACACCGTGTAAATGATTGGATATTCGCGTTCCCGAGGCCAGAAACCCTCGCAAATCATACGAGATTCGCGTATTCGAAACCATAATCCCTCGAGGCCACAAACCCTCCCACATTATGCAAGATTCGCGTCCCCGGGGCCATAAACCGTCGTACATTACGCAGTCGTTGCGTCCCCGAGGCCATAAACCTTAGTAAATTACGCTACCGAGGAACCCCACATACTTACATTATGGCTGGGGTAATGGTACCTGAAGTGACGCATGTGAGAATGATGTTGGTGGCCGTTGCCCCACCGATACTGCAAGGACGACCGTCACGGATAGCGGCCGCGCTCAGGGACCACCCCGTGCGCACCCCCTGTGGTGTCGAGAAAACGCCACGCCTGCTGTGCCCTGGACGACCGTCACGGATAGCGGCCGCACTCAGGGACCACCCCGTGCGCACCCCTTTGTGGTGTCGAGAAAACGCCACGCCTGCTGTGCCCTGGACGACCGTCACGGATAGCGGCCGCGCTCAGGGACCACCCCGTGCGCACCCCCTGTGGTGTCGAGAAAACGCCACGCCTGCTGTGCCCTGGACGACCGTCACGGATAGCGGCCGCACTCTGGGACCACCCCGTGCGCACCCCCTGTGGTGTCGAGAAAACGCCACGCCTGCTGTGCCGAAAACGCCACGCCTGCTGTGCCCTGGACGACCGTCACGGACAGCGGCCGCGCTCAGGGACCACCCCGTGCGCACCCCCTGTGGTGTCGAGAAAACGCCACGCCTGCTGTGCCCTGGGCTGTGCTGTGCTGTCCTGTGCTCTGCTCTGCTCTGCTCTGCTCTGCTGAGCTGTGCTGAGCTGTGCTGAGCAGTGCTGTGCTGTGCTGTGCTGTGCTGTGCTGTGCTGTGCTGTGCTGCGCTATGTGAGAAGGGGAGGAGGAAGGTGCGGGAGACGCGGGTGCGACGAGGCAGAGAAGAAAACCAGAACCCCACTAAGCATGTGGGGAATAAAGAATTCAACAATACGTTGTGAACCTGAATATGCCGCTTACCAATCGCCTTCGCATGAGGTTCCGGCATTGCTTCACAATGGCGCCGAGGAAATCCAGCATAACATTGGCATATTCCATTATGTTAGACAGGGGGGCGCCGGCAGGGGGCGAAGCCCTTACGGATACATATATATATATATATATATATGTATATATATATATGTATGTACGCAGAGCATTTCGGTTCCAGCGCCAACTTCTGCGCTTTCGGAGCTTGAGACGGGTGCGGAAACAGAGTTAGATTATCGTTCGTGTAAGGGACACAACTGCGACCACGAGGTGGAAACGATTCCAACATGGTCGACCCACGAACCCGGAAAGGAATATAGGAATGTAAGGCATGGCAACATTTCAAAGACACCTGATTGGGCGACGGGCAAATGCAATGCTGAATGTATCGATCTTGATGTACTGTGCCGAGGGCTGTGCTGTGCTACGCCGTGCTGAACTGCGATGTGCCTTGGCGCGATTGTGCTATATATATATATATACCATTGCGGATCGAGTCATCTTTGCATCCGAGTCCTGACCGAACTGATCTGGATCTTAAGCTCGAGCTGCCTGAGCACATAGTAGCTGCCCCAGAACTAATCGACAGAGGGGACATGCCAGGAGGACGCGCCGCGGAACGTCCCAAGGGACGCGCCAAGCGACGTGCCAGGGGACGTGCCATGGGGACGCACCGCAGGACGTGCCAGGGGGACGCGCTACGGAACGTGCCAATGGACGTGCCGCGGGACGTACCATGGGACGCGCCGCGCGACGTGCCAGGGAGACTCGCCACGGAATGCGCCAAGGAACGTGCCAAGGTGCAATGTTGAGTGTATCGATCTTGATGTACCGTGCCGAGGGCTGTGCTGTGCTGGGCCGTGCTGAACTGCGATGTGTCATGCCGCGATTGTGCTCTATATATATATATATATATATACCGTTGTGGATCGAGTCCCGTTTGCATCCGAGTCCTGACCGAACTGATCTGGATCTTAAGCTCGAGCTGCCTGAGCAGATGGTAGCTGCCCCAGAGCAGATGGTAGCTGCCCCAGAAAATTCGACAGGGGGACATGCCAGGAGGACGCGCCGCGGAACGTCCCAAGGGACGCGCCAGGCGACGTGCCAGGGGACGTGCCATGGGCACAAACCGCGGGACGTGCCAAAGGGACGCACTACGGAACGTGCCAATGGACGTGCACCGCGCGACGTGCCAGGGGGACTCGCCACGGGACGCTCCGCGGAA